GAGCCAGTCGGGGGCCCCGGCGCCCCGGTGCTCGTTGCCGGGGGCAGCCTGGACGGCGGCGAGGCGCGCCCATGTGCCCGCGCGGTGGGCGTCCTTGCGGCTCCTGGCCGGCAGCGGCGCCCGTGAGCCCTTCCCGCGCCTACCTGGCTCCCGCGTCCCCCCAAGGAGCCCCTTTCTCACCAAGAGCTTTACCTCCATGGCCGCCGATGGGCACCCCAACCAGGGAGCACCCGGGTCAGCGGCGGCCTGGACCCTGCGGGCCAGGCGGCGGCCGCGGTGCCGCTGCGGAAAGGTCTCCGGAGCTGGCCTCCTGGCCAGCGGCTGCACGTGGGGCCCAGCCTGCAGCGCCCTTTTCCTGGCCAGCACAGGACAGGCCTCCCATGGCCCTGGGCAGCTGGGGCCCCACCCTGGGCTCCCGGGCAGGCCCACCTGCCCCCACCCTTCCTGGACAGGGCCAGCAGTGGCTTCCTGGACGGACGTGAGAGGGGCTGCGGCCCCTGGGCAGAGCCCCGGCTGTGGACCCCCGGGCTGGTGTCGGGGAGTGGGGGCCAGGTAGGGCAGCCCCCACAGAACTAGGCAGACTCCTGCTCCGTGGGGCTGCCTGCGCTGCCAGGCTGGGGAGGGGCTGTGTCCCCAAGACTGGGCCTGCGGCCCTGGGGGACGCCTGGAGCCTCCCCTGGGCGGGGCGCGGCAGTTATTCTTGGCCGGGGTAGAGTTTCAGGGTTGTTTTTGCCTCCAGGAGGCACCTTGGGGCGGGGGCGGGGCACGGCCTGCACCCAGGCGGCGGCCCTGCACCCAGGAGGGTCCACGCCTGCGTGGGCCTCGCAGGCCCCCGCTCTCCTGCAGGGTCAGTGCTGTTAGTACCCGCCAGCGCCGGTGCCCGCTGGCCCCTCGGGCCGGTGGCTCCGCTGTCGGGGCACTGTGGGTCTCTGGCTGGTGGTGATGCACCTGCACACACGCGGGCCCCCCGCATCCCCACCATGAGCAGCCCCCCGGTTTACCCTGGCATCCGGATCTCGGGGTGCTGGGCCCTCGGAGCAGAAGTCAGGTGAGTGGCAGGGCTGGCATCTCCCGCCGCTCGCTCCGGGTCCAGGGCCTGGGGCGCTCCTGGGGCCAGGGGGGCACAGCTGTGGGTGGGCGGGGCCAGGGCGCCCTGCTGGGTGGGGTGCGGTCTGCTGTGCCAGCGGCCGCTGGGCGTGCCCTGTAGTCTGGCTGTGAGGAGTGGGGGTCCACGCCTGACCAGGCCCCACTCCAGCCCTAGGGTGGGTGTCTGGCAGAGCGACCCGAGGCGCCTGTGGCCAGGCGTAGTCCTTACCTTGGACTGGACAGGAGCCAGGTCCACCTTGGGGCCTCTGCCTGTGGGCACCATCTGCCCTGGGCAGATCGGAGGGCCCGGAGGGTGTGCCTGCGCGGCCAGGGCGGCTCCCCTCTGGGGCGGCGGGGGGGTGTGGTGAGGCCGCGCCTGTGTCCGGTGCTGCCCGCTGACTTGCGGGGACTGCTGAGGGGTGGCCGCTCCCACGGGTGTGCTGCCTGGCAACGCGCCTCTCCCGGGCTGTTCACGCGCCGCCGGCCCTGGAGCAACGCACCCCAGCCCCACGCTCAGGGCCACGTCCCGCTCGGGGACCCCCACCCCACCCGTGGAGCCGCGGGTGTGCTGGGGTACCCGGGGCCTGCTTGGCTTGGTCTGCATAGCCTCCGCGTCCTGGTCAGCGGCCTCTGCGTCTGGGAGCCCAGCGGCTCTCCACACGCCCCCGCCGGCCCTTGTCCACATGGGGGAGGCAGGGTCAGCTGTCCAGCCCATCCTTGCTCCCTGCACAGCTGCGCTCTGAGCCGCGCAGGCGGCCGCCCATCTGCAAACTCCGCGCCCGGGTCGGTCGCGGGCCCGGGTGGAGCTGGCCTGTCCCCTCCCGCAGCAGCAACGCGGAGTCCCTGGACAGGCTGCTGCCGCCCGCGG